CGGAACTTCCGACGTGCGCAGTTAAACACCCAGCTAGCCCGCAACAGGTATTGGGACTCCTGACATGGGTCGAGACTTCCGACGTCGGAACTTCTGATGTACGTCGGGAGTTCCGACGTGCATAGACAGCCGGACAGCAAAACCACCGATGCTGGGACTCCCGGCTTAGGTCAGGACTTCTGACTATCGGGAGTTCCGACTCATGTCGGGACTTCAGACGTCCATAGTCACCACGTCAGGCTAAGTGACTAGGAGTCAGAACTTCTGGCAAGAGTCATGACTTCCGACTGTCGGGAGTTCCGGCTTACGTCGGGACTTCCGACACCGACAGTCACAAAAAATTATTCTTTGTGCTCGTGAAGTGCTAGAGTGTCTCTCTTTTGATTTTATTTTTATGCTTGAGCACTCTATCTTCCTTAGACCAACTAAGTTTGCATCCCTCTTTATAGTGCGGCGGATCCTAAACTCAAAAACAAAATTAAAATCTTTGGAGAGCGTTTTGAGTTCGTCCGCCTTTATAACTTCAAGAATTGAGGGATACCATTTCATCTTTATCAACTCTTTGAATCTTTCATGGGACTAATAGTTACGACATATCTCATTAAGATTACATTAGTCCCTAATTTGGATGTCATCAATACACCAAAACCCACAGGGGGTAAATGCACTTTTAGGAACCCACGGCAAGAGAGCAACGAGCCTTTCCTGCTCCCATAAACAAGTATGTGCTCGGGATAATAAGCCTGTGACCTAACTAGAATCCAATGCAACGACCGGTCCTTAACCGACACGGACGGGGAAAATAGTGTAACCAAGCTATGCCCAGTTGGCCATGGAACACAACCTCTTACACCCACCAATACCCGTACCATATCCCTGCCCGGCCTCCATTTTCTTTCACCATTTTATCATGAGTGATAATAATAATCACCTATTGTGAGTAACGGCAGGTTACTCACGCTATCAATAGCCTAAGCATAGCAGCCACTCGACCTATGCTAGTAGGACTCATAGGTAGGTTATCTATGTATGTAGTTTTCATAAAATGCCTGTAACGTAAATGCACATCACATATATATATCCAGTGATTATTTAAAATAAGGGTTATGCACCGGGGCTTGCCTTGGGCAGTCACGGTGTCAGCTCAGTCAGTCAGTGGTGGCTCCAGGACCTCCTCCTGCACGAGGATCACCTCTTCGTACTCCTGCTCGCCCGTGGTCACAAACTCCACCAACTTGTTCTCTACATGCATGCAATGACGATGTAACACTCAATATTAATAAGAATGCATCTACTAAGCCACTAAGATAGCTCTAATGACTAAGATACCGAGCTAATCATCATTCCCCTCAAACCAGCAGGGTTTCACCTACAAGTGCTACTTAGCCATTAAAATATATTCTTACTCTTATTAACGATTTCCTATATACTACAACAAAGAGCACTTAGCTATCATATTTCTCAACTGATTCTAAGGCTACAAAAATTACAATAAGCACATATTAATACATTGAATCTACTATAAAAATTTTATGGTCAAAGCTATTACCAATTTGCCACAAAAATTCCTACAAATACTAACCTAAATAATACTAAACACTCACAAATGATTTAATAGCCACTAGTATCAACACATACATGTATGAACTAAATACACTAACAGATAGAGCACAATTTTACGAATCTAACAAAATTGGTTTCAAAATTTTTGGACATCTACATGATTTTATATGATTTACCAAAGTTTGGCACAGAATTACAAATGAAAAGCTATTTCTATTTCCCACGAAAAATCTAAATCGATTTCGGCCCACGCGGCGCAACACGTGCGCGCGCGAGCATGCAGTGGCCCACAGGCGAGGTGCGGCCCACACGCGGAGGCGGCCCGCGACGAGGAGGCCTACATGCGCTGGCATATATGCAAAAACGCCCTTGGACTATGTGCAAAACAACCCGCAGTCACGTTACTATTCCTAGAGACAGCACTTATGCAAAAGAACCCTCGGACCTTTCTCCTCTTTACAACGGTGAGGCCCTCGGCCATCCCCGCATGCTCCAGCGCGGCGAACAGTGGCACAGGCGCCTACGCCAGCCACGTGGGACCCCCGCTGACCTAGCTACGAGGCCGACGCTCACCTGGGGTTTGACGCGAGACGATGGGCGGCGGTTGCGTGAGCCGGGAGGCCGTAGAATGACCTCTCCATGACGGTGGACACCCTACGGCAATGGCGACGGCGTTCAGGTGAGCCGCAGCAACAATCAAGGTAGTAGAGCAGCGGGTGAGCAACGACAACTCACCGGTGACCTTATGAAGAAGCTGGCTCGGCCGAAGATGACCCGAGCGAGGCTGGCTACGTGCACGCGGTGGGGTGAACGGCGCACCGCTAAGGCACGGCCGCGTCAGTGGTGAGGAGGCAACACAAAAGCTGCGACTAGCGTGCGCACAACAAAGAGGAAACCAAGGCGAGCTAACGGTGCAAAGGAATTGGCGCGGGGTAAAGTGGTGGAGACTGGCCACGATGCGGGCGGCGACGAGCCTTAACGGCACGGTGGCGGCAAGATTCCAAAATTGGAGCTTCGCGTGACACAAGTCAAGGCGGGGTGGGGTCGGATGGAGAGGGGGCGTGAAGGCGGAGACGCGAGCACGAGGAATTGATGAGAGGTGCTCGCTCTCTGGCTTCACCGCGACATGACACGACAACGGCAGAAATAGAGGGAGGGAGAGACGGGCGCGGTAGTGGGTTTGGCTCATCCACGCCTTGGCAGGACGCGAGCAGCGGGACTGGGAGGCCCACGCGCCGGTGCTAGCCGACGGGCGTGCGCGCCCGACCGGCGTGGCCCGCGCGGCCGTAGTGCCATAAATGGCAAAGCGACGGTGGCGCGCACGGCCACATACGGACGGCACCCAACTGGGCTAGGGAGGGGTAGCGCGATGTAGCGCGCATACCGGAGCGACACGACGATAGCGGCAGCGTCGCGATGTGAGGCAACAGTGGCGGACGCGATGACAGCGCAGCTCGGGACAAGGCAGGGAAACGACGGCGTGACGGCGCATGGCTGGGAGCTAGCGGCAGGATAGTAGTGCGACAGTGAGGTGGGGCAGCCACGTGCCAAGGCTGTCGGCCACAACGTCCAGCTGAGTGCGGCCAGGCGCACGCGCGGGTGGTCGGCGCATCGACGTCGTGGCTCAGGGGCGCGTTGACCGTGCCTACGCAAGGAAACCGACCGAGGACGTGCCATGCACGCTTTTTAAAGCATCCAAAACAACTAATCGGTTGGCCAAACACCCAAATCATCTTCACCATACTTTAGAGGGTACATTAGGCTACTAAAACAGGCCATGACACTACTCGGTTTCTTAACTAATTTTTTCTACAAAAATTGATGAACAAAGCAATGTCTACCCTTTACAAAGTTCAAGAAATTTTCTAAGTCCTGAGTTGAACTCTATTTCAAATTATATTTCTAAGCTATTGAAAATCTTAGCTAGTACTATCATTTTTTGACCGCAGGTATTTCATTGCCATCTACAAAGTTCGTACCTTAAACTTTATTCAAGTATCACATACATGTTCTATAGCATTTTTGCTTAATAAAAAATAGTTTTAAACCCTAAGTGATATAACATGACTATGAAATTAACTTTCATTTCGCATTTCCGTTGATCATTTTGAGCTACGAAAATTGATCTACACACTCTATTACATACATTAACACATAAACATGATGCTTATGATCTGTTTTAGTAAATGATTTACGGTGTAATACCGAGGGTGTTACACTCAGGGGCCCACACGGTGACCCACGGCGGCGCCTCCAGTAGCAGCAGGTGGCAACGGCAGGCCATTGTCTGCCAGCCACTAGCGCCATTATTGCAACATGTGTTCTCTCAAATCTACTTTTGAAACATCCAGATGAAATACTTGCAACATAAGTCTAAAACAGATGAAACATTCAAAACATACGCTTGAAACATATGCAACATCGAGATCTACTTATGCAATATCTAGATGATACACTTGCAACATGAGTCTGAAACATCAGAAACACTTGAAACATACGCTTGAAACATGCGTATAGAGCCATAGCAACATATGCAATATCCAGATGAAACACTTCAAACATACATCTGAAACACTTGAAACATAGGCTTGCAACATATGCAACATCCCAGATCAATTTGCAACATTTAGATAAAACACTTGAAACATAAGTCTAAAATGACTGAAACACTTGAAACATAGTGTCGCCACGTGGCCACACCTACGTGGTGGGGAACTCCAGTAGTCAACAAGCTCGAGTTAGAGGGATGTTGAGAGCAACGATCCAGCATACACTCTAGGCACAGTGCGTAGGCCTCTCCTTCCTAACGACGGGCGCGCTGAATGGGGGCACAGGCACAGGCACAGGCCTCCCTAGCGCGTAGGCCTCCAGTGCTCTCCTTCTGTGACAGGCGAGGTGGATGGGGGCAAAGGCGTGGGCCTGAAGTAGCGCGGGATGTGGCCGGGCACGACGGCGGAGAAGAAGGCTGCGAGAGAGGCAATGGGCATGCGCGATCAATGGCGCTGTGGCGATTTTGTTAAGAAATTGCGGTGCCTGAAGGGGGCGGATATATGAGCGAATAAGAAAGCCTCATGGGCATCACGGCCCACCAACGAGGCAGTCCGTTTAGACGGACGTCTGGGACAAAGCATTACTGTTTTTAAAATCGCTCACAGAGGTAAATCAGAAGACGGTGTTAAGAGTTGGGGAGTCTAAACATCATATTTTCCAAATATAAGTGTGGCAAATCGAACTCGCGTATTAGTTGACCAGATAGAGTTTTCCGAAAACAAAATGCACCTAATGTTTTTATTATGGGCCTGGCCTGCTTCCTCCTAGTGGTTGTTAATGGGCTCCTGGGCCGAAGGAGGGTCCATGCTACTCGTCTCGTCTTCTTCCTCCGTCCCTTCTTCTCCTTGGCTGGCCTTTCCGCGCCGCAGTCGTTGGTTAAGGCGGGGATGGCGGCGCCGCTCCTCTTCTACGACCTCAGCCTCCTCCCGTCCTCCTTCTCCTCCTCCGGTGACGGCGGCGATGGCAACTCCAACTCCTCTTCCTCCTCCCGCCTCCAACTCTTAGCCGCCACGGCGCGCGCTCTCGAGCTCGGCTACGCCGCCGTCGCTCTCGACCACCCCCACCGCGGCCTCCTCGCCGACTCCCACCGCTGCCGCACCGAGCCTTTCGCGCCCCTCTCCTCTCTCCCGCTCCCATCCTCCGCCGCTCTCCATCGCCGCCGCCTCGCCTCCCCCGCCTCCGAGCCCTTCCGCCAGTACACCCGCATCACCCTCTCCCTCGATTCCGCTGCAGCCACCGCTTCCGCGCTCGCCCCCTCCGCCTCCCGCCTCCTCCGCACCTACGACCTCGTCGCAGCCCGCCCCCTCACCCAGGCCGCATTCGATCACCTCTGTCAGGCACCCCTCTCAGCTCAACACCTTGATCTCATCTCCATCGATTTCTCCTCCCACGGTAAGCTGCCCTTCCGCATCAAGCCCCCAATGCTCAAGCTTGCCCTGCAAAAGGGGCTGCATTTCGAGATTTCCTACTCCCCACTCATTTCTACTGACGTCAATGCCAAGAGGAACCTCATAGCTGAAGTCAAGGTCAATGTTATTCTACTCGTACCCAATGACCCAACATTGTTTTCCCTTCGTGATAACGCCTTGCTCTCTTGAGAAAATCATCTATTTTCAGACATCATATGGTACATACAACTTTTATATATCTATAATAATACATTCTATTTTCAGCTTTTGGTGGACTGGACTAAAGGAAAAAATCTCATCATCTCAAGCGCTGCTCATACTGCTTCCCAGATCAGAGGCCCCTATGATGTCATCAACCTATCTGCTTATTTACTTGGCATTCCCATTGACCGAGCAAAAGCTGCTATGTCCACAAACTGCAGGTGAGCTATTCTTTTGTCAAGCCCCTTGTCTCAGAAATCATGCATGGTAGCCAGCCATTCTGTCAATTTACGCTACTGATTGGGTTAGTTTTGGCTCGTGCAGTAACCCCTGTGCAAAGAGCATCTTTTGCTGTTAAAATATATCAGCCTTTTATTTTATTGAGTTTCAGCTCTCTGATTGCAACCTGGAACCAGCCATTCTGTCAATTTATGCTACCTACTTTCCATTTAAAAATACAGCAAATGTTGCTTGAATTGTGATGCGATTTTGTGCCATATTCTCATTGGCAGGTCACTTGTTTTCAAGGCTATAAGGAAGAAACACTTCTACAAAGAAACAATTAGAGTTGCCAGACTATTACCAAATGAAGAGTTGACTTCAACAAAATTCAAGCTTGCTGATTGGATTGGTTGGAATTCTGTATCGTCTGAAGTAGGAGCAAATCAGCTGGAACCTTCTTCCAACCTTGATGAACTTCCTGGTTCACCCATATGTGGTGTAATAGAAGGTTCACACGAAAAACCTCACAATCCTGATATGTCTGTCTTTGCTAAACTGTCAGAACAACCTAGTGATCAAGATCAAATCCCATCCGAAACTCAAGAAGAGACACTACAAGTTGACAGAACTGAAGTCCTGACAGATTGTGGCCAATCTATCTTGCCAGCATCTTTCAATTATCAGAATGCTATACTTGAGAAGGCCGAAAACAATGAAGTTTTTGTGAATCCTTTTGTGCAGCCTGGTACAGGTTGTTTTGCTGACCCAAAAATTAACTCCAAGCATGTTGAATTCGTGCAGGATGCAATGGAAGTAGATACAATAGAATCATGTAGGCCAAAACTCGTTGTCGGTGACAATATTCCTTCAACCTCTGATACTAGTGCGAAGCTAGCATGTTCTGCTCTTCCCCATGGCATAGAGCTTTCTGGTACTAGTCTTGAGGATCAGGGGCCAAGTCACTCTAGTGAAATGCTAGCTAATGATAAGTCTTATATGAAATATCACACTGATTGCACCTCTGGTGTGAGTGAGGTTCATGAAATTTCTTCTGGTGCTGATGTTTGGCCTGAGGACAAGGATTCAGACAGGTCTAATGGAATGCAAGCTGATAATGTGGCTTGCAGAGGTACTTCGGAACCACTGGAGTGTCCCCTATGTGGGGTAGATGACAAGGCACCATCCGATCTTTCATTTCACTCAAGTCATGAATTATGCAGGGATGTTATAATTCAGCCGAAAGTTATGGAGGGAAAAGTAGAGCAAAGTAGGGATGAAAACATAGTACAAACTGTGGAAAATGAAGCAGAATCTGTTGACACAAAAACAAGAACATCTATTTCAGTGGAACCTGCGTCCCATGGTCAGGAGATCAGCTCAACTATTCATACAAGAAGCACTGGTGCAAGCTGTGAAAGTGATGAGCTGAAAGAACAGAATTCTAAGGACATAAATGCTTATTTGGATAAAAGTATTGCTAAAACACATGAGCTACTTCTAAAATTTCCTTATCCAAGTGGTAAGGCTGGGATGTCCACAGTCAGATCAGGTAAGATATGATGCCTTGACTATTCTTTTTTTAAAACAAAATTTGGAACACTCCTAATCTTTCTACTCTTTAATATTCAGAATTGTTTCTTTTATTTACGGTGCATACTGCCGTTTTGTGTTGCATACCTTTTTTTCTCTGTTAATTCTCTAGTTTCTTGAGATAATACAATGGGGTTTCTGTCATCTTTCTTTTATAAGGGAAAGGCAATCAGAAGGATACTCCTTGTTCCTTGCCTCGTTTACATATTTTGTTATAGATTAAAAATAAACATCCTTTTGGAGAGGGGGGGGGGTTATCATCTTGTTTCGTGAAAAGGATTTGATTCTGTTGAAAACAAAAAATAAGTTGATATTATATCTATCTTCTAAACAAGTCTAAATTATTATTGGTTTTGCAGAAAAGCGAAGACATAAACTAAGGCCGCACCATCCGGCTTATCTTCCTTTCTTGGGCTTCCTTCGGTCCGTTTGTTTCAAGAAGAAAATATGCAAAGTAAGAGGACTAATCAAACGTGCATGAGGTTTTATTTCACTCTGACAGGAGTTTGCTGTCAATTACCATCCCTGAATCATTATGTTACAAGGGAAGATCAAGAAATCTCGTTTTAAAGTTTTGATCTGAAATGCAAATCCGTTTACCAATCAGTTGTATTGTACATATGGTCATATGGAAAACAGAGCCATACCTGAAAGGTGGAAATTTTTCTTTTTTGGTTCGTCCATATGTAACCTAGGTCTAACTTTCCCCAGTGCCACTACAAATCTCAACTTTCATGTTTTGTACAGCAAAACTCTCCTTTTGGTTCCTACTTTCATGTTTGGTGACTTTGATCAAATTAACCTTGGACAAATTAAGATACATACTGATCTGACCAATGACTAATGGGACTGGCAGTTTCACCTGGCTCACTACCTTTAATACACAAGCTCATGAAATCTGGTGAATATTGCAGTAGATATGTTTTAAGTTTGACCATTGACTGATAGTACCATGGTTCTGGAAATAAAAAGAAATATAGGTTAGGGAAAACTAGTGTTGGTTTTACTGTTTCGTAAATGTGCAAAGTTGCAGTAACAATCTGATTTATCTTTTTTCACTTAGCAGGCTTAGTAATTCTGCATTAATTTGATTCTTATTAGGTAGTTACATTCTTACCAAGTATTGTTGACTTTATTGTAAATGGAACAGAAACATTTGGCTGCATGCTTGCTCATGAAGTGTTCTGTCATGCTAACGCTGAACGCTGAAATTAGGAGGATATTAAACTATTAGCTCAATCCTTTGATCAGCCTGCCATGGGTCTATCTGACACTTAATTCTTCACTGCCTGTGAAACATGATTTCATATATTCTTGTTGAAATAGATATTGTGGGCATTTGTTGCTAGATCCTTATTACAGGATGCTCTACACTAACAAATGTGTATAATCATCAATGTTGGTGTATGCATATGTACCTAAAAGAAAATCCATTTGAAAGTGTTTGCATGTCTAGCCTTGAAACACCTTACATATAGCACCTCAATTGGAGCAGCTTCTTCCTTGCTTAACTGAAAATAAACCTGCACGTGACCACCATGTATGGCCATTATGTTATTCTTAGGCTTTGTAGGCTCTCTGAAGTAGCATTATGTTATTCCTACTCATCCTGATATCCTCTATACCTAACAATACTGAAGCAGTAAAAATGTTATGTTTTATAGTGATTGCCTTGAAATAATATGAAGCAATGGCTACTAAAACTGGATTCATCATATAATTTTTTTATACAAAATGTAATGTCATTTTAGTACCTGGCACGGTGGAGCCTGCAAATATAAATTTTTGTAAACAGACATTGTAGCATATGGTGCTCCCATGTTGCCATAGTATAGCAAATCAACTACAAGATGAACCAGCTATGCTGTTCTCAAATGCCTCTGGAAAGATTGAGTTGGATGTGCATATTTCTTGTTTTCTTTCATTTGTACTTAGTATTCTATGGATGTAGTTTAGGGATTAAACATGAACTACTAACAATTTTCTCTTTAAAGATAGACTGTATTGGAAGGGAAGATAAGTGCAGATAAAGTACAGTAAGCTCCGCTTGCATTGCTGTGGCTTTTCAAAAGCATTTGTTTCCTGATTTTGGATGCAGTAACAGTTAATAGCATTATTTTTGGAGGCCAAACAGCAATATCCTATTATAATGGTATAAGATTCCACTATAACTAGTTAGCTATTACAGCATAGCACATGAACCATGAAATGACCATGCTTCTATTTGATGTGAAAAGTTTCTAGAGACCATGATCGTGATAAAAAGCCATAGCCATACCCCACCACACTTGCACCTGGAGGAAGATTTGGGGCAGGACCAAAATCTTTCCTCCATATGACACATCCCACCAGAATGCGAGGTCTTATCAGCTTCCATCTATGTGGCCTCCTTCAGCTAAAGCTTATTACATTTGAAATGGCCGGTTGGTTATTCTTAACTTCATTTCATTTGAATAGTGATTTGCAATTTTATATTAGGCATCCTATTGGAGTTAAATGAACTTCTCTGTACTTGAATACCAATTATTTCAATAGCTGTGTATCTATGTAGTCTGTCAATAAATTCTCCGTGCACATCAACTAAACAATCATTGCATCACCACTCATGCTATAGTGGTGTGACTATTCTTATAGTTGACCTAGTAGAAAAGGAAAATCTAGGAGAACTGCACGCTATCCTATCACTCCCACTTGTTTTCATTATCTTACATGAATGATTTGTTGATGTGTTGCTTGACAAAGAGGCATTGGCTTATGAAATACTTGTTTTTCTCTTTCTATGCAGTGAAGTGTCAGTGGTTTAATGTGCGGTTGCTTTGGTATCTTGAAATCGATGCAGGTGGCATGTAAAAGGAAGTCGTAAGAATTGTGGTGTGCACAAGCAATTTGGCTGTCAAAGGACAATAGATCTATGGTGCCCTTTGACTTTATCTTGTCGGTTGGCTAAGTCCACTTCAAGTCGTCAGGGCATATGGCTATGTCAACGTGACACGCAATTCTTGAGTGGGCTACTGTAGGGTTCACGAGAAGCTGCGGCCACAATAGGAGCAGGGAGTGCTGGGATTGGTGCAAGGACACTCCAGTGATGTTACCAACCAATTGCCAACTGAAAACAGCATCTTGGGTCAATAGCAGGAAACTTGTGCCCAATAGTTGCTCGAAACAAAACTGATTCTTGTGGGGCTCAGCCTTGCTGTAGGCTGCATTATTCAAATGCGGTATCATACCATTTCTTCCTTCCCCACCAAAAATCTTGCGAGATGTCACTTCTGATTTTGGAAGCTCATCATATGAGCCAGTGCGGTGGACTTTGTAGGGACAGTCTTTTCAAGGGATGCTTTTGCGTTTAATTGCGATCATCATTTGGTGAGCTTCCTTTGCAATGACCTTTGTTTCTCGAAACCTGGGTGTAAATGAACTAAGAGCATCTCCAAGAGTTCCCTAAACTCTTTTCTAATCTTTATTTTTTTTAGAAAGATGAGGAAAAATCCCTCTCCAACAACTCCTAATCTTAACTTCTAAAATTTAGACACTTCCGAAAAACCGAGCCAATCCGCGTAACTTTACGTGCACCTACGACTCCGTGTATCCTTCCCGACGGGCTGTGGTGATGTCTTCGCCGTCGTCGCTGCGACTGCGATCCCCCTCGTAGCAGCAGCTGTAGTAGTCGCCGTCGTCGACGTGCATCATCGTCGCCGGGACGCCCCCCGTGACCGCTCCTTGCTCAGCGGCACCGACATCATCGTCGCCACAAAGCCACCGCCAGTCCGCCGGCAAACCGGCCGCCGCCACGTCCTCCGCGTTTGGGGGTGCGCGTTGCCCGCTCTCGAAGATCTTGCTCCACCACGCGTCCACGTCCGCGGCCCCCGCCTCGCTGCACTCCACGCCCTGCATCTCGCCGCCGGTCGATGTCTGCTGCGCCATCATCTCCCCGCCGTCCAGCAGCACCGGGACAAAAGCCGCTGCTGCTGGCGCGTCGATCACCGAGTGCTTCTCGTTCTCTGCATCTGTTGCACTGAGCGCCGGTGACGGTGATCCATGACCACAGGCATGGGTGGTCGCCGTCTCTATTGCCGGAGGTGAGTACGAGTACGAGGCTGCCGGTGATGGTTGGGTCAATGGAAGGCCACGCAGATCTTCACAGTCGTCCTTGGCACCATCGTCCACAGAGACACCAAAACCTTGGAAGCTAAGGTTCAGTCCCAGCGGCTGTGCAGGCAGGCTGCGAACCAAACGCTCCAAGCCGCCTTGGTATTGGTAGTGCTCCAACTCCACCAATCCCCCCATGGCGGCGGCTGGACTACGGCCACGTGTACGCGTCCAAAACCTTCTTCGACGCACGCCACGGCCGGCGCGTGCCGTGGGCGTGGGCCAACGAGTCTGACAGCCAGGCCGACGACGTCGCCAAGGGCTGGTCCGGCGTTCAGGTACCCCGTCGGCATGCTTGCTTGCTCCGATCAGTCTACACACTCACTCACTGCTCACTGGCATGTGCGACGCACGTAGATGTTTTTAGATGCTATTTATTAGAAACTCTTGGAGACGGACCTTCTTTTTTTCTCCCCAAATCTTTTTAGGAATTGCCAACCTACAAATTTTTAGAAGAAAAAAGTAGAGAACTTTTAAGATGCTCTAACTGCATGGAAAATCTTGGGAGATGTCACTTCTGATTTTGGAAGCTCATCATATGAGTCCCAGTGCGGTGGACTTTGTAGGGACCCAAGTCTTTTCGAGGATGCTTTTGCATTTAATTGCGACCATCATTCGGTGAGCTTCCTTTGCAATGATCTTTGTTTCTCCAAATCTGGATGTAAATGAACTAACTGCATGTGTTGCTTACCTTTGCATATGTGTCCTGCATCACATTACTCTGACTAGGGAATGATGAGGGATGCTAGAATCAGGCAAATATTTTGCATGTTGATCCCCTCCCCAGAACCTGGACCCATACATGGAGTGGTAGTGGTAGGTCCTTTCCCTTAGTTGCGGTGTTGTCAACTGCAAGTTGAGCATGTGTCTGTCCTGGTGTAACAGCAGCACAGGGCATATGGGATGGGAGTATCATTTTAAGGATACCAGTGGAACCGAAAAGGTATAAGCGATATCTCCAACTTACTCATGTCTCCTTGAAAAATAGAAATTTAGATAGAATCATGAGCACTATTTTCCTTAATCATTTTCGATTTCCAGCGTTGGTGTTGCTCATGTGCTGTGCTCACAATCTATTGAGATTCTCATTGTCAGAACGTACACATGCATTGTGGTTTTGGTGCTAGCTGCATTGATCCAATTCCTTGGCGCATAACATGGAGAATTCCTGCCTGCATTGTGGTTGTGCAGTGCACGCCCAAAATTCAGTAAAGCTGCTGCTGCGCTTGTATGCGCACCAGCTTACTTTTGTTAGGTTGTGGCAGCTAGCCGTGGATGCAGCACTAGCACCTGTACATGGCTCATTGTGTATGTATGTATGTTGGTCTCCATCTCCTGCTGTTGCATGTGTTTGTTCAAGTCTATAAAACCCAAGAGGGCCTGCCTGCCTGTCAGCTGTCACCACATACTACCGATCGAGATACATACATTAGCAGCACCCATAGGCCACAGCCATGTATCAGCAACACCATCACTGGGCAAATTCCACATGTTATTGCGTTGACGGTGAGCTCAAAGCTGGTGATGCGATCCTTTCCTCTCGGCCAGACGCCTTGCTTGCCGATGGAGGAGCATTCCTGCCTTCTCCATTGCCGCCGCCGCCAGCGAGCTACATGCCTCATCACTATTCGCAGCAGGCCCCTGCCATTGTTCCTCCACCCATGGACAGCCAGCTGCACGCCATCACCCACTTGTCCCAGGCGTCGTCGTCAGACATGGCTGCAGCAACGTCCTCGTCGACGTTTCGCCGGGCGTTGAGCACGGGAGACCTCATCGTCCGGGACCGGGAGGAGGAGCAAAGGGTGCCGGTGGCGGCAAGGTACAGCGCGGAGGAGCGGCGGGAGCGCATCGACAAGTACCGGAGCAAGCGCAACCAACGCAACTTCCAAAAGAAGATCACGGTCTGCCTGCTGCAACATATATATTGGTTTGGTTGGTTTCAGCTAGTTATAGCTGCTTCCTCTAACATACGCAAATGAATGGCGGCATGCAGTACGCGTGCAGGAAGACGCTCGCAGACAGTCGTCCCCGGGTGAAGGGCCGCTTCGCGCGCAACGGCGGCGACTACACAGAGACGGAGGCGGATGCAGTTGCAGACCACCATGTTCATGTCCCAGCAGCAGCACATCAGTCAGAGTCAGAGTCAGACTCGCCGGCGGCAACAGCAGCAGCGCCGGAGTGGTGGCCGGCAGTGCAGGAGGAGGGCATCAACCTAGCAGAGCTCTGTGCCGACGACGACGAGATGCTGGCCGCCTACCTTGGAGTCTCCTCCATCAGTATAGCTGATCATCACTACAGCTGCCACCCATAGATAGATAGATGCATCATGCATGAGTAGAAATGCTGCTCGCTTTAATTTATATTTTATATATTGCTTTTTCCCTTCTGCTAGTTAACTTTATATACATCTCTGCACGGGATTTTCTTTTACTAGAAAGAAATTTGATATTGCCTTTCGCTTTATTTTATATATAACTTTTCTTTTATATATTGCCTCTGCTCGTTGTTTATTTCCTGATCAATCGTATCCATGAGTGTGATGCACACAAGACAACATTTGTGTACTAGTCTTGTACATACATGATTTAAGAGCTTTGTTACTGTACTCCAGCGGTTCCTCCCTAAAAAAAATATTGCCAGCAGTTAATTGTACTCAAGGTTACTTTAGTACTTTTAGCCAGTCATTAACTCTAATTGACGTTCCTTTTTCTTTAGCGCATGAAATTCACGATCTCAAGACCACGCCGCCGCCGCCGTCCGCGTCGCCGGCGCTCGCCTCCCTGAGTCGTAGTTGCTCCCACCTGCTGTTCGACTTTAAACTGTTGAAATATCTGGTTCCCAATCCATGTATTGCTGGTATATCTTCCGGTGTGGTGTACACGTGATTTGCTCGTCAAGTCAGAAGGTTGTTGCGGCTCCTTAGGTTAGACTCTAGTTTGTTGTAGTCTTGTATTGTAAGTCAGTAGAGACAGAGACAGCCTGTTCGTTTGGTTGTGGCTTATCGTATATGATCGTAAATTTTTAGTCGAAACAGTATTTTTTCTCACACAAACCAGCCAGCAGTACTACTTTACAAACCAGTAACGATATGAACCAACCAACCGAATAGGCTGATGATGTATCAAGATGTAAGCCACGCCAGGGGCTTTTTTTTAGCTCTATTTAACACGGAGCCGTACGTGACCTGAAAAGGATCACGTTAATTACCACCATTTTCACATAAACCTGCCACGGACATGCCGGCCGCCGCAAGGCGAACCTGAGGGCTCGGTACTTTTGCCTATCAAAGCCAACTAGTCTTTCGGGCGTGCCCATGCGCGCGGTGCACTGGCCAAACGTTTTTTTTTTGGAAAAAAGATATAATCAAAGTTGGACTGTATGTTAATTTGAGAAAAATCCGAGGAGGTTTTCGCAAAAAATGGTGAGAGGGTTTGTGGAGCATGGATCGATTTTCGGAAAAGGTAAGGGTTTTTTTGCAAAAAACCCGGAGGGCATCCGTTCTGGACTGCGGGTTGATTTCAAAAAAATCTGAGGAGTTTCTTGCAAAATATCCTGAGAGGGACTCTGGATCGCGGGTTGATTTCTGAAAAACAGAAGGGTTTTTTCAAAAAATGACCGCGGCTCGCCCGATCTGGACCGTCCGCGCGGCCGATCGAACGGCCATGAAAAGCCGACGACGTGGACACACTGGCTGCGCGAGCTGGCCACACCGAATCATATCTTTAGAAGCGCATGGAGCGGTGGGGCTCCTGGGAGGAGGCCGCCGATGTGATGGGGATCACAATGGATGGCGGCATGGCGCAGACCGGGCTGTGACTGACAAAATGAACCACCTGCACCCAACCATCCTGGAGAGGCAGCGAGCTCAATTGCAAGGGAGATTACGGTCAATCCCAACTCAGCAAATCGAGGTTCTTTTTTTTTAAACGGAACAGGCAAGAGAGTGCCTATTAAAAAGAAGGGAGCCTACAAAGACACTATACAAACATATACAATTGTTTATAAAAGGGCAAAAAAACCCGACACGCCCCATCTCAGATGGCCTCAAATCACACGCGTAATAATAAATTGGAGATATGCTTCGCTCCCGCCGTTGCCCACAAGCCAGCCTCTTCCTTGATCTTCTGGAGGAGATGCATTGGTGCGGATTCTTTGCGCTCAAAGATTCTTGTATTTCTTTCATTCCACACCTCCCAACAAACAAGAATGATAATGGAGCGTAGTTCTCACCTCGCCGTCGAAGGTGTTCGATCTAAGTTTTCCCACCAAATTTGTACGGAGTCTCCTAGCACCCAGGCGGAAGGTCGGAGGTGTTCGTTGCCTAGCCATATTGCAATGTCCTTCCAAATACGCCTAGTGTAACGACAGTCTTGAAAGAGATGGACTTCAGATTCTTGTCTGTGTCTGCAAAGAGGACACACACCATTATTTGGCCATGCTCGCGCTTGTAGTCCTATCGGAGGTCCAGATTCTGTTTTGGATGGCGAGCCACCCAGAGAACTTGTATTTTGGTGGCGCCTAGACTTTTCAAATCAGTCGTTTGAAATTGGTCGTCGTTGATCCAATGAATTACGCATGGTAGGCCAATCCTGTTGTAAATTTTCCATCCAGCACGAAATTCCAAATGATGTTGTCTTTCCTGTCTGATTGGAGCTGAAAGTGGTTTAGGGCGTGCCAAAGCTGGACATACTCCACAAAGTGTTGGGAAGTGAAACCTGCATGCCGTAGGTCTATGTCCCTAATCCAGGCTCTGTTGTGCAAAGCTTCGTTGAGTGACTTGTTTTTATTTTTTGAAATTTGGAACATATTTGACGCTAGATCTTGGGGCCTTTGACCTTGGAGCCACGCGCTGCTCTAGAAGGATGTTCTCCTACCGTCGCCAACTGTGATTGATGTTGCTGCAGCGAATAGGAGCCTATCAGTCGTGTCACATGGTGTGTCTGAGTTGGTTAGCGGCCTTCTTTCTCCCTCCCATTCTTTCCACAGCCATCTGAGACGTAGTGCTCTTGCAAATTTTCCAAGATGTAGAATGCCGAGACCCCCAGATTCAGTTGGTCTTGTGGAACGTGACCAATTCACTTTGCATCCCCCCCCGGTTAGCTTCACGGATCCAGCCTAGAGGAAACTCTTTCTAAGGTTATCAATTTCCTTCAGCATGGCTTTAGGAGCTCTTAGGGATGTGAGGTAGTACACAGCTTGGGAGGTGAGTACTGCTTTGACTAAGGTGGACCTTCCTGCATGGTTAATATTCTTACCGTTCCAAACAGCGGCCTTGTCAACAAGAGGCTGGAAATCGATCCTTTGCAATCTGGTGCTTGCTGGCAAGGCATTTGACGGCATCACCTCCTCGTAGTTCCACATGAGCCCGTGGCGATGAAGTCATACGCGCTCAAAGTCCGGCTGACCTTTGGCGGTGCCTGTGCCACGGTGGAAGTCATGTACGCGCCGACGACACTGACGGTAATCAAGATGGAGAATCCCAATTACTATTATGTCCTTCCTATTAAATTAGGAACAGATTCTAATTCGGGTCCGCCACTTAAGTTTCATCTAATTGGTTCTTCCTATTTTAAAACCATTAGATCTTGCTAGATGAAAGGCTCTTATTATTTCCGAGCACTGTAAAATTTAACTTAAACATAAAATTGCCTGCATCAGCAGTTTATTTCCTTCTCAATGACTTTTGTTGTTTTATATCTTTTACATGTTTCATTTTTCATTTAACAAAATATGTATGTGACCTTGTTGGTACTGTGAATACACAAATCCAAAAGTTATGTTTTTCTCTAGAATGATATGTTACATCTCAATCTCCATTATGAGAAGAAATGAGATTTTATTTTTTCTACAAGTTTTCATAAGAAAAGAAGAATATAGATAAGTAAGGATCCACTTTTTTTAGTGAAAACCAGGTCCAAAAGAATACACACACCTGCACAACCATTGCCTGCCTACACTAGATAACAACTTCCTGTCCCTAGCCAAGCCACACCCAACGTAGACACACATAGCCATCGCTTAGCCTACCATGCCACAACGAAGCGTAGCATTGAACGATAGTCAAAACAACCCTATGTAGTGCCACCATAGTCGCACCACTCCTACGCGGCATGCGACCGACACGTGCTGACTTACGTCACGCGTTGTTGACCTAGCAGCAAGTCAGCCACACACATACACAAATGTAGTGTCACCGCCTGCCACATAAGTCGGGAGTGAGGTCTCTCTACCCATTACGGTATAGCCTATCATCTTCTCACTTATTTTTTTACTTGTGGAATGGATGAGTTGATCTAGCACTAACTTATTTGACACAAGCTAATAATTAGTATAGGTACAAGAAATGAGGTCATTTCACTGAATTTGAGAGATGATCATGCTTCACATCACCTAGATTTCCTTTCCTCAAACCAAACATCCTAATAGATTATGCATGTCTTTTTCATCAACTGTTAAGGTCCAACAGAGTGCATGAAAATAATAATAAAAAAGAACGTGAGATTTTAATTCATGGAGAGGGATAAGAGGAAACACGTTAGAGGAGACAAGAACACCAGTTATCATATATAACACGATCTAGCTAGCATATTTGTCGGCGGATTGGCAAATGTGCTCTAGTATCCATATATACAGTGTATTTGCTATTATAAGTATATCATAGCCGGAGCTTGCATTCACATGTTTCTCTCACCCAATGATCGATACGATATATACTTGTAGTAGTTTCTTCTAGGTATCGACACAAGTGTCATCACTACTAGAGTTCAGGGTGTTAACACAACCACACATATATATATATATATATATATATATATATATATATATATATATATATATATATATATATATATATATATAGAACTACTACCTATAGCTGGCTATAAAATAACTTATTCTGTAGTCACTTTGAGTTACGATAATTACTATGTTAATTTACGAGATTATAGTAACTCCTTACTAAGTGGTTTACTATAACGTTATGGTAAATATCCCCATGTGTTATAGTAACCCAACTATCGTAAATATGTATTGACATTATCGTAAATTAGTATATAAAATTATCGTAAATGGAGGTGGCTACAGAATAACTTATTTTTGTAGCTGCCACTACATAGTAATTATAGAACTACTGTTCTGCAGCTGGCCATAGAATAACTTATTCTGTGGCCACTTTGAGTTACGATAATTACTATTCTAATTTATGAGATTATAGTAACTCCTTACAAAATAATTTACTAGAACATTATAGTAAATATCACCATGAGTTGTAGTAAATCAAAGTGGCTATAGAATAAGTTATTCTATGGCCAG